ACATCAAAGGGACCCTATTTTATGGTCTCTATTTCTCATCTCATTCTTCACTTGAGCTTCAAGCCTACTCGGATGCAGATTGGGCAGGTAACCCCGCTGATTGTAGATCCACCATCGGTTATTGCTTCTTCCTTGGTGATTCTCTTATTTCTTGGCACAGTAAGAAGCAAATAGTGGTCACTCGATCTAGTACAGAGGCTGAGTATCGAGTCCTTGCTGATATAACTCAAGAACTTCTTTAGCTTCGCTGGTTACTTGAAGACATGGGCATCACTCACTCTACTACCACTATCTCAAGTTGGTCTCTATTTTACCATTAAGTTTGCGGGGGGCTGTTGATGTGTGTGTGTGTGTGTGTGTGTGTGTGTGTGTATAATACACAATGTACATGTTAGTTAGTCTCACATTGGTTAGAAAGGGAAACATTACTCTCAAGTTAAACTATAAATAGGATACCTCTCTAGTAAACAAATTACACTATTCAATATAATTCTCTTCTCTTTGTATTGTCTTATTTTCTCTCTTAAATTTAACTGTTTTAATCCAGCAAAATTAATTTAAATATATTAAAGTTGTTATATAAAATGTAAAAACTTTACTTGCGAGAAGGAAGCACACCAGCAACATGCGTTGCGTGATTCTGCAATGCTTTTTGCAGTCGACTAAGTGGACAGTTGACCATAAGCGAACTTTGTTCAATTTTAGTACAGCAAAAAGGGAAATGTAGAACACAAATAAGCTCAAAACCATAATTCGAAGAATACCCGAATTGGGACGGAATTATCATCATATGTACGTTGGAAGGAGGCTCACTGTGGTTTAAATTGAGAACCACTTTGCAAACACGAATAATGTTTGCCTACGAGCGAGTATAATTTTAGACTTAGAAAACATTGATTAAAAAATACTAAGGATTAGAGAAAGATCTTGAAGAATTTTAAAATTTAAAATGTTACAAAGGAGATATTCTCACTCATTTACGTAGAAAATATTATTACAGTTTTGCCATTTGGTAAGACATTGCACATGTTATATTAACTCTAACCATTAACTACACCCATTGTTTTATTATGTTTTTGTATGGAAATAAAGGCAAGAAAAACAATATAATTGTTTTACTTAAGAAAATAAATATGACTTACTTGTTATGGTGAACACTACAATAATGGACAGTATTGAAGAAGAAAAAAAATGTAAAATCATTTTTTATAGTACTGCGGATCGAACTCTATCTTGCAGAATATGATCTAAATGGAATAATTGATTTTGCGACATTAAAGTTTTTAAATCACACATACATCATGGAGAAATAGAAGAAGGCAGCAAGTATTGGGGGAAAAAATAGATTTTCTAGAGAAATTTGAATTCCACTCACAAGGGGAGGTGGGCCCACATGAATTAAATATTGCTAAAAAAGTCGGGACCCACATATTGTGTGTATTCTTTCCATTTTCTGTGGGTAATTTCATGTACCCATAGCAATGCTCGGAGAAATATAGGTGGTGGAGCTCGATAACACAACCTCACCTTCCCACCATCTTAGGTGGTGCCCCTACGGTATCTTGACCGGCACATCTTGAGTTCAAGTTTCAATTTCTTTTCTACTTGGAAATCATATTTCAAATCCACGTGAAGGATAAGTTGTTTCATAGATATATTTCATCTGCGACCACTAAATTTCGGTTGGGTCTATAAACTTTATATTATCTTAACTGAGTCGCTGGTTCCTAATTTCACCATTCTATTAAATTACGTAATCAATCGCCCTCGAAACCTATCGCCCTCGAGACTATCATACCATAAAATGAAAATGGTAAAACAAATATTATAGCAACGTCTTTAGATTAAAATGTTAAAATATATTCAGTGTGGTAGGCTGCTAATTAAATTATCCTCATTAATTTGGAGAGAGCATGTGACGAAATGGTGAAATTAGAAAATAAATTGAAGTTTTAATGATCCAATTGAGTTTGTCGATCGTTAAGTGCTACAAAATGTACAGAATATTGCTTTACAGATGGTTTACCTATACTCACATGAACGGGCCCCATGAGGGACCCATTGTAATAAAAAATAGCAAAAAAAATCCCACCCACATTCTATGAACCCCCAATCTGTACCTCAAGCACTTCTCCCTTTTGAAACATAGCCAATGGGAAAAGGGGATCAAAAAACAGAAATTTTTCATGAATCAAACGAAAGGGTTTTTCCTAAATAAATAGAAACATCAAGACAGATGAAACTTTCCAAGAATTCCCTAAAAAATTTCCAAAGCTGGAAAGGATTTTTATCTTCTTTTAACAGGAAATATTTTCTTATTCTTTTAAAAGAAAGAGATAACTGCACGTTTTCCACATGGTAGTAGATCATGTGGAATCGTACATTAAAAGACAAGATTTTAGTTTCGTTTTCTTTCTCGATATTGTTATGTTATATAATAACCCTACCAAACATGAATTTAATATATGATTTTTCATATTAATAGGCTGTACTCTCTACTTGCTCTATATTCTTCAGTCACAGAAATTTTCTTTCTCGTGTTTTTCATCTTAAGCTCTC